TTTTTTGCGACGGAAGGGAGTTGGAGGAGGCGAGGGCAGGCATGGAGGGGAAATAATGGTAAGGTATATGCATTCTTCCCCGGACATAGCTCTTGGCTTGATCATGGGTTATGGCTGGCTTACCGACAAACGGCGTTTGGGCAACACGGGATGGCTTGGTTCTGGGTTGATAACTTGTTTTTTTTTTTGTTATTCTGCGCCTGCTATCTCTCACGGATCTACGGCTAGTCTGGAATTAACGAGCAGACGCTTGACCAAGCTAAAGAGGTTGGTCTCTTGGTTAGCTTACTTCGCAAAACTTGACTCTCTCGACCGACGACGCGAGATGTACTCGGCGAAATGAAACTGAGATTTCGCTCCTAGAATCATCCGGCTTGGGATTAGCCCTGAAACGATGGATTAAAGAACACATGCTCCGAGGATTCAATCTACTGTGATCCCATGGTGTTTATGTTCAGGGAGGTTCGGGCCATTCTGCTTTTTTCCTAGCTATACTCCGTACCTCCGTCTCCGTACTCCATGCATTGTTTCTCCCGAGAGGACTTCCGAATTATACAGCCGTAATTGGTTATCAAAGCTGAAATTGAGCCAAGTGGACCCACTCTCCGCAGGCCATGCGGAGAAGCCGAGGTCCAGCAAAAAGTCACCAGATACCGTAATGGGACAATGTTGCGATGACATCAGCTCCTGTAATCGGCTATTAACTGGCGGGCCATATGCCGCCACGAATGGAAAAGATCACATGTTGTGCCCGTTGACCGTTTGCTGATTGCCCTTTACCATAACTATTTTCCACATTTTTATTGGCTATTATTCGCTTAGTCAACGGGGAAACACCAATCACAGGAAACTGCAACGGTTGCTAGTGCCATAGGGTCTGGAGAAATACCCCACAGTGGACAGTCGGGGTAACGGCCTCATGCTTCGTACCTATGTATATACTTCATAGGTACCTTAACCTAGGTATTTCTGTGCAAGTGGGAGAATGTGGGGTAACCCCCCAAATCGGCAGAGGTCACGCCGGGGTCAATCACATGTGATTCTGTTCAAGGCGAACATTGCCCCGAGTCCACATCATCCAATTCCCGAACTTCCCTTTTCTCCATTACTAGTACCACCGGCCATCCCTCCCAGAAATTCAAACACACGATTCCTACCATCTCTTCCAGTTGTCTTCATCCGTCCATTCTCGCCCTCCGTACTTTCTCTCAACAAGTCACTTCAGGACGTCGAGCTCTCCAGACAAGAAACCATCATGTCCAAAGTTTTCACCGTCGGCGACGTCGCGTCGCACAACAAGTCAGACAACCTCTACATCATCATCGATGGCGATGTTTACGACCTCACAAAGTTCCAGGATGACCATCCCGGTATGTCTTTGGCTTCTGCTTCTTCTAGCTTCATTGAATGCACCGCTGGCCCATTCGGACTCGGACTACCTGCTAACGACACGGACAGGTGGCAAGAAGATTCTTCAGCGCGTCGCAGGAAAGGACGCCTCGAAGCAGTTCTGGAAATACCACAATGAGGGTGTCCTGAAGAAGTACAAGGCGAAGCTCCAGGTCGGCTCGCTCGACACCAAACCCAAGGCTGCTGAGCCGGAACCCACAGCCGCAGCCCCCGTGCCCACCAAGGCCGCTGCGCCTAAAGCCGCCTCTACTGTCGCCGCCACACAGGAGTCCGAACCTCTCGAACCTTTCGGCAGCCTGATCCCTTTCGCCGACCCGAGTTGGTACCAGGCCGTACGTGGCCCGTCCCTCCCTTTCAATCTACCCAGAACCCCCCCCCCCCCCCCCGGGGCTTTGGCTGCCTAGCTGACTTGGACTACAGCACCACTCCCCTTACTACAATGAAACCCACGCGGCCCTCCGCGCCGAGGTGCGCGCCTGGATGGAAGAGGAGGTCGAGCCCTACGTCACCGAATGGGACGAGGCCAAGGAGGTCCCCGCCAAGATCTACAAGCAGATGGGCGAGCGCGGCTACCTGGCTGGCCTCCTCGGCATCGACTACCCGACCCAGTACACCAACAACACGGTGGCGTCGGTAGCCCCGGAGAAGTGGGACCTCTTCCACGAGCTGCTCCTGACCGACGAGCTCTCCCGCTCGGCCTCTGGCGGCTTCGTCTGGAACGTCATCGGCGGCTTCGGCATCGGCTGCCCCCCGCTCGTCAAGTTCGGCAAGAAGGAACTGGTCGACCGCATCCTCCCCGGCATCCTGGCCGGCGACAAGCGCATCTGCTTGGCCATCACCGAACCCGATGCCGGCTCCGACGTGGCCAACCTCACCTGCGAGGCCAAGCTGTCCGAGGACGGCAAGCACTTCATCGTCAACGGCGAGAAGAAGTGGATCACCAACGGCATCTGGGCCGACTACTTCACAACCGCCGTCCGCACCGGCGGGCCCGGCATGAACGGCGTCAGCTTGCTCCTCATCGAGCGCGACATGCCCGGCGTCTCCACCCGCCGCATGGATTGCCAGGGTGTCTGGTCCAGCGGAACCACTTACATCACCTATGAGGATGTCAAGGTGCCTGTTGAGAACCTGTTCGGCAAGAAGAACCAGGGTTTCCGAGGTATGTTTTCTCCCCCGCCCCTTTTCTTTTCCTTCTCATTTCGTTACCTTGTCCCGCTAACGATACGTCCAGCCATCATGACCAACTTCAACCACGAGCGCATCGGCATCATCATCCAGTGCCTCCGCTTCTCGCGCATCTGCTACTCCGAATCCGTCTCCTACGCCTCCAAGCGCCGCACCTTCGGCAAGAAGCTCATCGAGCACCCTGTCATCCGGCTCAAGCTGGCCCACATGGCGCGCCAGATCGAGGCCTCGTACAACTGGCTCGAGAACATCATCTACCAGTGCCAGAAGATGGGCGAGACCGAGGCCATGCTCAAGCTCGGCGGCGCCATCGCCAGCCTCAAGGCCCAGGCCACTGTCACCTTCGAGTTCTGCGCCCGCGAGGCCTCCCAGATCTTCGGCGGCCTGTCCTACTCCCGCGGCGGCCAGGGCGGCAAGGTCGAGCGCCTCTACCGCGACGTCCGCGCCTATGCCATCCCCGGCGGCAGCGAGGAGATTATGCTTGACCTTAGCATCAGGCAGAGCATGCGTGTCCACAAGGCGCTGGGCATGAAGCTATAAGCCGGGCGGTGGATGTGAGTTGCATATATTCATTTTGGAAAGACTCGGTCATGGCATATAGATCGATAGAGGGGAGGGAGGGCCTTTGAAGAGGAGAAGAGGAGTTCAGAGTTTCTGAGTTTCCTGTTTTCAGTCACAGAGAGTATGGCGATGGGAGAGAGATACCAGGGCGGCATAAACTGTACGAATACTTTCTTTTCCCTGGAGTCTTGCAAGGCGCTATTTTTTTTTTTTTTTTTTTGGCATATACTGGATATTGAACATATTTTCTTTCGAGAAGACGAGGGATTCTTCTACCCACCATGTCATCACGAACTGTGACTGTCACGAGTTGGGTCTCACGTCCGATGACGCCTCTTCTCCCACCTCGTCTTCGTCTTCGTAGAACTTCTTTCTCCTGTGCATCAAATAGAAGAAGAAATCAACACCCGTCACCGTCATCACTTCGCTCCCCCCCCCCCCCAAAGAAATGACCCAACCCGCTTCCGGCGCAGAGCGCACAGTATGATCACATCGGTCTCGGTGAAGAATCGCACCCGGTCCCACCCCATTAACCGTTCCCGGCGAGCCTCTACTCCGCCGGAGCCATCTTCGACCGGAGGAGTTCGACGTGTAAATCTTTTTTTATTTTTATTTTTGCGTCAAGTACCAATTGGGTCGAAAAATGATTCAACCGAACTCCTTGGTTTGTCTCCAAATACAGATTTCGTTACGCCGACCTCTAGAATCTCCCTCTGTCCGGGATGAAATATGTCTGGCATGCGAAAGACTCTAATCCGGCATATCCATCGCATCCCAGAAACGCTCGCTAAGCCTTCGATTCGGGAGGTGGGTTCCAATCCTGTTAGTTTAGTAATCCAATTGTAATATAAGATGCGATAAAAGTCCTGCCGGATACAGTCCGCGACCGTCCGAATTAGGTACTGTGTTGTGTCAAGCGGCGATGATTCGGTGAGGAGATGGACCAATGTTGTGAGAGTTCCCCGGTTTAATGACGCCGTGGCGGGCTCTCTATGGGCGACCGGTCATAACGGCCGGTGTGTGTAACGGGAGCTTGAGGCTTAAGCCTCCCCTTAAGCCTCCCCCTCATCCCTTTGTGAGGCAGCTTGTCGCTTGTCTTGTGAGGAGGCATGGGCAGATCAGGGTCAGGTGGCAAGCAAACAAGGTTTAAGGCGGTCGGCCATCTTTCCCCTCCCTCGTCTTTCTTTTCTTCTTCTCATCCGGTTCGGACGTCATTTTCTTCTGTAAGCAAGTGGTTCAACCTGTCAATCTTTGTGAAGTGCGACTGAAATATACGCGCCCGCCTTAGCTGTGCAACCTGGCGTTCAATCTCGAATCGAATCGAAAAACGTTCAACCGAGCCAACGTAGTAGAAGCAAATAACTCAACAGGCAAAACGGGAACCATGCCCATTGTGCAGGTGGCTCAAGTCCAGTTCAAGGACCTTGTAGCGCCCGAGGAAGTGGAAGCGGTAAGCGGGGCATCGCATTCGCGTCCGTTTCCGGGTAACGAGGACGAGGCTGTTGACGATGCACAACTCCCCGTTTTCTGAGGCTGAGGCTGAGGCTGACGATTTACGATTTTGTTTTGCAAATGAAGCTCTGCGAGGAGGCACTTGCGCTCAAGGACCACTGTCTCCACCCGACAACGAAGAAGCCGCTGGTACGATCGGTAACTGGCGGTGTCGATAACAGCACTGAGGGACAGCAGGTGAGGCCCGAGACAGGACCCCCGTTGCTACGTCGTCCATCGTCCATCGTCCACTGGTCGCAGCCGCAGGAGATGATAAACTGCCCACTGACCAAAGATCACAATGAATAAACACACAGGGGGGCATGACGCACGTCTTCATCCTGGAGTTCGACAACGAAGAAGATAGGAGGGTGTATCAACAGGAGGACGAGCGGCACCGCAAATTTAGCGAGGACCTGTCAACCCTGGCGGCCAAGGTGACCATGGTCGACTTTTGCCCGGGCGTCTTTTGGAAATAGTGCTGTGGTACGGGTAAGAATACTGTACGTGGTGGAATAGGTGGGCGTCGGTCTAGCAAATGGGGGTTTTTACGGCGTAGTTGGTGATGTGCTGAAGGCGGTGGGAGTATTTGTTGTCCTGGGTCCATGGTGGAGGAAATGACCTGGGGAAAGGCAGAGTGATGAAAAGGTGCTCCCTATGTGTAGCGGCACGTTGTATCGTAGCAAAGAGAGAATATGGGGATCTAGGGAATATGAAAAAAGATGTCGGACAGAATCGAAGCCCGGTGTTGAGATCTGTCAGATACCTACAGCCACCTTATCGGGGTGTGACTTGCGCTATTTCTTTAGACGGATGGGGTACTTCCGACCGATGTATCCACATCAATTTCCCCTCCTTTTACTTTATAGTTAGACATTTCCGCAGAGTATCTTTTACTCTTCTTTAATGCACATATATATCTTTTGCGTACCTTATTTGTGTGCTGATAGTTATAAGCCCGGCGTTCTAATAAACGAAGCTATTCCGATAGATCCTGTAGCTTTAAGGCAGTTAAAATAGCCTTAAGTCTATAGCGGTTAGCTTAGTATTATTGGCTATGTCTGCCTGCTTTATTTATAACTGTTATTCCGTTATTCCGTTAATTAAATCGCTTAATTCTATCTTATTTAAACGCTCCTTATTTAATTAGTCCGTTATAGTCGGTTTCGATAGATTATTTCCCTATAGTCCAAGTTAGTTAGATAATAGCCTTAACTGCGGCGTTACCCACGATAGGCTATACGATCCTTACCTTACTAAAAGAATAGCGTTATTAGATCGAGGCTATTATATAGATAGCCTACGCTAACTAGGTCTCTAACCTTATTGATCTAGACTTTAAGGAATCTAAACGTCCTTAAAAGCTCGAATTCTCGGAACCTCTAGAGTTAGAAGAAGGTGATAAAGATAATGCCTAGAATCGTAAGTTTAAGCTATAGAATATAAAAAAGAATAAATATCAGTAATAGCAACGTGGTCTAGCTACTCTTTATAACCATATCGCGAAGATAGTTAATCCTAACCTTAAAGATTAGTACGCGGGGAAGAAGGAGGTTAAAGATATCCTAATCGCCTTAAAGGACTATCTTAAACCTACTAACGCTGCCCAGAAATCCCTAATTAAGAAGAGATAGGAAGAATATATATAAAATATACGGAGGATACCCTATAAGCGTTGGCTTTAGGACTTTATATCGCTATACCGAAATTCGAAGACCTATAGCGTTAGATCTTCTAATACCGTAAAGGATTAACTCGACGCGTTTTTTAGGGCTATCGGTACTATAGCTCTAGAGTAGTTAGAGGCGTGTTTTATAGAGATTTTAAGGGAAGATAAGGAAGATAAACCTATTATCGAAGAGGTTATAAACGAATATACGATTTAGTTAGACTATAGGTATCCCTATAGGCTTAATAAAAACCCTATAGCATTATCGGTTTATATAGCGATATTCCTAGGAAAGGATAAAGATAGTAAATAGTAGCCTATTAATTAGAGAGGTTAGTAGTAATAAGGAAAGGAGGGTTCTTTAGCACCTAGGGAATATATCTACGATTACGTTAAGATAGGAAGAGCTAAACGCCACTACTACCCGTGGAGTGGCTACCTGAACGTTAATCCGACGCGCCGCTAAAAGGGCTTTACGCCCTCGAAGGAGGTAGTAGAACGCTACGACCGCGTTATTAAGAGCTAGAGTGCTTCTAAGT